CTGGCACAGCTGGCTCTGCCTCAAGATAGGCAGAGCCAGCTGTCACTCATACAAGCTGGGCGGATCCAGATAGTATTGTCGGGATCCGTCCTGGCTGCGGCGCTGTCAGTAGATCTCGTGCAATAGCCCACTATATACTTAGCTTTGGGTTACGTGAGGAGGTTAGTATATGTCCTCCCGTGAACCTAAAGAGAACTATGGGGAAAAACACTGACCCCATAGTTCTCTTTTACGTTCTCAAATCCATGGCTCCCCCATAAATACAATGGGAAAGAGTGTAGACAGGAAGTGTGTTATCTGCAGGAGCATCAGGTGGAATTAAAGGGGAAACAAGTCTGAAAACTTAAAACAAATTTAAGGTTGGTTAAGCTCCGATATATTCCATTTTTGTTTTGGGGGTTTAGATTTTCATTAGACTGAAGTAACACCCATTAGACTCCAGAGGTCACTATTACTGCACAATTCTGTAGAAAGATAACCGACTCTTCACATGCTAGCAAAAGTATTGGCTGCATTTGGTTCAACTTTTCTTTTTTACAATATGTTGTACTATTTTTATATTTTCACACTTCCTCGTCTGAGCAGCGGGGACAGAACTATAGAAGTCACTGGGGTTGATTTACTAAAGAAGTAGTGTCGGTTCTCTCCACAAAGTGAATTTTTACTGATCTAAGTGAATGAAGTGAAGCTATGCTGACTTCAGTCATCCAATCACGTGGAAGCAAAAATATCCTGTTATTTTTATTTCATTTTCCTTAAAGTGACATTAAACCCTCAGATTTTTTAACATAAAACAATACTGTAATGTGTGCCTTAATGTAATCCATGGTTGGTTCCCTTCTCTTTGCTGCTCTTCCTTTTTAAATCCGTATCTGTTCTCATGCTGGGATAGAACTTACCTTTGCAGCTGAGTGCCTCTTCCTGTAGTGCTGGCTCAGGTTACAAACCTATATAAACCTGCACACAGACACCATATATCCATTTCAGAGACAAGGCAGTCTGCTTCAAAACAGAAGTTCTGCCCAGCATGAGAACAGATACAGATTTAAAAGGAAGAGCAGCAAAGAGAAGGGAAACAACCATGGATTACAGTAAGGCGCACATTACAGTATTGTTTTATGTTAAAAAATCTGAGGGTTTAATGTCACTTTAACACTCTATTGGTCATTCTATATTAATTTTCAGTTCGCATTATCTCATTTTGGTAAGCTAAGTATATCGAGGATATCGTATGAAATCAGAGCTCCAGCCTAAGATAACAAAACAACAAGTAGCACATTAAATGTTAAAATAACAGGATTCAGCTTCAATCCAGAGATTTCTCTTGCAGTCATTTGTTTCTGTTGTTAGATGTCCTGATGGCCAGCATCATTCAACCCACTTCCTCTCACCCTAGACCCTCCTCAGCTTGTCATTGGACAGTAAAGGAGAAGCAGCGCTGTGATGAGCTCATCTCTCTGTGCCTCTGCTATCTCCTCCTATCAGCGTGCTCTTTGTCAGCACATGAACTGGTTGGCTCCTTGTGCTTCCTCCTGTCATACTCCACCCCTGCTATTAAGACTGCTAGAAGCTGATACCAGGTCAAATTCAGGTACTTACATTGCTTGCATATATATAAAGAACTAATTAAATGATGTATTATTGATTCCAGAGATGCATTGATGTGTGTCTTTTATATCTGCCTGGAGTTCAGCTTTAAAGTGAGCCAATCAGGCTTCAACAAAATGTTACAACCATCACTAATCCTTGTCAGCAGACCCCGCAAGGCACTTACGAGTGGCTTTACCAATCTGCCATTGTTTTCTCTAGGCCTAGGGAAATGCTGCAGAAAGGCTACCGTCACTTTAAGAGAGCCAGTACAGCGTTAGCATGTAAGCCGTCATTTCTGACCTCTCCATGGGAAAATGGAACAGGAATACACCTGGCTGTCATGCAGATCATGTGACTTCATTACTTTCTGCATATCTGAACTGGAAGATATTGAGCTCTGACTTTACTCTGATTTTGCCATTGTGACTCCTAGACATGGGATGCGTTGAAGCCAGGGACAGCCAGGCAACAAGCTTCTTCATAAGACAGTCATGGTATGCCAGCATTTCTCCCTGTACAGGTTTTCTTTCGGCTTTACCATTGACCTATTGTCAAGCATTCCATTGCAGTTCCACTGAGGCATTCTCATTGGGTTAGGAGACAGCAGGAGACATGGCAGAGCTCCGAGCTGGAGCTGACTTCAAAGGCTCATTTCAGCATGGAACGGGTGGACTCCCTGAAAGCTCATACAACAATGTAGATCATTTAAAGTTCTTACAGACACCACATAGAAAGAACAACTAGTTTGAAAACCTTATAACGCAATGGTTTAGAATCTGTTGAAGGGTTCCTATGGTCAAAAACTCAAATAAATCTGTATTTCTATACTGAATTTCCATCAGTATTAGCCCACTCCTAATAACCAGATCCATCTAGAAGTTTGTGGATGTACTTATTGAAGATGCCCATAGGATGTACTTCCTCTATACACTGACACCATTTCACTTAGCCCTGTGAATATACACTTCCTGGTGTCACAGAGCCCAGGCATCCCAACTCTCCCGGATGTTCCGGGAGTCTCCCACTATTAGATAACTGCTCCCGGCCGCCCAGGAGAGACATTTTTTCTCCCAGAAAGGTTTACTCTGCTCGATCTAGCAGAGTAAACCTTTCCCTGCTGTCTGTTTTTTTTTTACTCTGATATCGGAGCATAGAAATGAATAGCTAGATTGCCATTGGCTATTTGCCAATAGCCGACTAGCTATTGCACCTACCCATTGCTGCGGATAGCAAGGGAAGCATTAGCCTCTTTGCTATCTGCCATCATTTCAGGGGGGTGCTATCTTCCTTGTTGTTGTGACTTATTTCAGGTTGGGATCCCTGCCTTCCTGGTACCTCCCTGAAATTTCTTTTTTTCAGGTTGGGATCCCTGCAGAGCCTGCCTTCTGAACTTAAGCTCTATATCTGAACAATGTAACATCATCTTTGCTAGTTGGAAGCAATGCAACAAAAATGTGATATATTGCTCCACAGATTTTCTTTATTTTTCTTCAGACTTTTTACCTCTTTTTCTCACCTGGTGATCCTGCCAGTAACACACATCCTGTCCTACAATGACAAAACCCACTAATTGTACTGTATCTCTGAAGAAGCAGTGTTGTCACTCTAAGCTGCTCTTATGAGTTG